GACGGGAGGCCCTGCCGGGGGCCGCCAGGGGGGAGGCGGTGCAGCTCGGCCTCTGAGGCGGTCGGGGGCGCTCATCCGCAGCCCCGCGGCCCACCGGGTTCGCCCGGCAAGGCCACGGGGGCCTGCGGATTGAAGTCGTTGAGGAGGGTGGGCTGCGCCACCCCGCAAGCTCTGTCCGGGGGCTCCAACCCTAATGCTGGCCTCGGCGAGGTTTTCATGAGGAAGGGGGTGACTTGAGCAGCGTGGCCAGCGGTGAAGAAGCTCAGATGCTGGCCGGGAGGTCGAGTGCCGCACTTCCCGCTTCTTTCGAAAATAACCCCCCCCAAAAAACTCCCTTAAATGAACTTCAGCCGATGCGGGAATGGTGCCATGTTGGTGAAAGTCTTGAGAGACAAAGACACTCCTAGGCGTGAGTGACTCTTGAGAAGGGCCTCAGGAGAGCAGGCCCTACTCTGGGCGGCGAGTCTGAGAACTGGGTCCCCGTGATGCCGCCACCGCCGCCTCAGCCTTCTAAGTCCTCCTCAGTACCCTGGGGCCAAAGGGGCATTTTCCCCCTTCCTCTGACCCCATTCAAGGGAGCCCCAAGGTGCATAAAATCCTCTCTGCTCCGCCACCCATTTCCTTGGAGAGGACTGGCAATGAATGGGAAGAGAAGCAGGGGTGGAATTGACGATGGGGGTGGCCAATTTTATGCCAGCAGGGATGGATGGATGGATGGATGGATGGATGGATGGATGGAGAACTGTAGCCCCACAGATGGGAAATCTAGGGGTGCATCCTTAGACAATTGTGCTGAGCCTTGAGATGCACCGTTAATTAACTGCGCGTCCCCTCCCCCTCCTCACTTTGTCTTTGCACTGGAGCAGCAAAAATTCTGACCTCTTGGTCTTTATGCTCCTCCATCACTTCAAAAGCAGCATTCACACCAAACGGCAGCCTGAGAGAACCGCTGAGAATGCAAAGAAGCTGTTTCCATTAAAATAAACATTTGTGGCACGCTCTGTATCTCAGCAACGGGGCTTGCAAAAAGGAAATGTAAAAAAGCAGAGCAGAACTCCCAAGAACTGCCCGGTCAGTTCCAGGCACTGAGTTCCAGTTCCAGTTCCTGCAAACCGAGGCACAGCCTTCTTTCTGCCCTGAGCCGAAACGAAAAAGCCAACAGCGGCGCCCTGGCCAAAGACAGAACGAAAGGTATAGGTAGCCCCCAGTTTAAGGACGAGTTCCGTTCTCAAGGTCTGTCCTTAAGTCGAATTTGTATGGAAGCCAGAACAGTATTACTGTGTAATACTGTATAAGTAGTATTGCGTAATGAACTCAAACCCTTGTGCATTCAACTTGAATTTTGCTACAACGGGCTCAGTTCTTAACTATGGGTCACCCTTAAACTGGGCGTTCTTAAGCCAGGAACTACCCGGGGAGTACCTGTCCTAACCAGTTGTGTTGGTGTCTAAAGACTTTTGTTTTTTAGTACTTTAACAAGAGGCCACAGTAAAGTGGGGGGGGGGGGGTAGGCAGTTCTCAGGAAGCAAGGTATACTTCTCCAAAAATGTTAATTAACTATTTACGAAGGCAGGATCTAAACAAGTTTCAAATTCTGGAAATACGAGAAGAGCAAGTGCGCAGAAAGAGCCCCTTGCCTTCAGGACCCTCGAGGATGTCTCCTCTCGCTCTCTGAAATGTCTCGCAGATATCCAAGAGATGGTCTTCTTGACCCTTCGAATTCATTTTCTCTGGTGAAGAGGTAGGGCCATCGTCTGAATGCGCACGCTTCTTAGGCCCGTGGGGCTGGCCTCCCGGAAGGACTGCCGTAACCGTGGATTTGGGCATCTCTGCAGAAACAGGAAGGGGGGCTCTTCCAAGGGCTGCCTTGGGTGCTGATGATAAAGGCTTAACCAGAAGGGAGTCTCTTCAGCTCAGCAGTGTGTAATTCAGGCCAATGGTCGACTCAAGAGTACTGGATGTCCAGGTGTTCCAATACCTGTTTATCAGGCAGAAATCCAGCAGAGAGTGACTTTGCCCATGTAAAGGTGCCTTGCTAGAAAACGTAGCATGCTGGTTGCTTTTTAAATAACTTCCTGAATTCCCCCCTGCATGAGATGCATCTAAGTCTGTGCAAGACACATATTGGTGTAGTCATACAGGACTTCCTGCCTGAGAAATCAACTTTCTCTGCTTCCTTTTCATGAAAGCTTACCCCTCTTCCATCCACTGTCTTTGGGCCTCCAGTGCAGGTCTCACTCACCCTGGCGAACATCCTACACTGCCCTCCACAGGTAGCTGATCAGGAGAGATGTTTGTGAGGCATAACCCTCCTTGTCTCCAGTCCTTCCTCCGATCCCGGCTTGAGGCTTTGCGTTGTGAGAAAAGTTAACCCTTCAGAAACTCTGATCGGCAACATCGCTGCCCTCTGCATCCCTTGTCTCATTCCAATTCCACGTTGGCAGCTTGTTTCTTGCCAAGACGAATAACCCTATTTAACCTTCCTTATCTTTTCTCCTCCTATCCATTGGCCAAACTGACCGTTTTCCAGGAAACAGATGACGCAGTTGGTATCAGTCTGTGCTGTCAGAACCAGCTTCTGCCTAACCACGTTTTTTGCTCCCTATAGTGAACTCTTCCCCAATTCAAGGCCTTCAGCTGTTGGGCATGCTGGCTGTGGATGATGGGAACTGTAGCTCAGTTCCTCTGGAGGGCAGCAGATTGGGAAAAGTACCTGTAGTGGAATCTGACAATGCCCAGCCAGCACACAACATTGGCAGGTGTATTTCTGCATCTAGCATGAAATGCAGGCCTGGCTCCGGCAAGTGGCCGAGGGGCCCCTTGTTCAGAATTCGAGGAGCACCAAACAAACTTTGGCAGCACCACCTGACTCCAAGAACAGCCGGCCATCCTTGAGGGGGCAGAAAAGCAACAACAACTTCTCTCAGCCCAGAAGTGAAGAATCCCTTTTGACAACCAATTCACCTCCTGGCTTGGTAGATGCGAAGGTCTCCATGCGAGCGGGCTAGAAAAGCTGGAGCGACTCCAAAACAGCCCCCCAAAATGTATAACTTGTCAACTCCTAGAAGTCCAGTGAGAAGTTGCTTGCTCTAAAGCCAGGAGGCACGTCATGGCATTCCTTTCAGGGAGGGGCTAGCAACACCCAAATGCTCTTCTTAGCTTTGAGGGTCAGCACCCAACTCGGTCAGAAATGAGACAGCCGCTAAGGCAGAATGTCATGAGATGTGGGGTTGAGGCAGAACCCACGCCATAAAAGAGGCTGTTTTGAATCTCCCCCTCTCTCTCCATTTGGGCTCTGCTGACACCTTCTGAGAAGAAGAAAATCCAGGGCTGTTTGCAGGGTGTGGTCAAAAAAGTCATGATGGTGTGATCAAAGCTCTGCCTATCTTTTGATGTCTTTCTCTGTATTTGTCATTCTGAAAGCGAAGCAACATTATGAGGCATAAAGAGAGTTTAGGACAGTGTTTCTCAACCTTGGCCACTTGAAGATGGGTGGACTTCAACTCCCAGAATTCTGGGAGTTGAAGTCCACCCATCTTCAAGTGGCCAGGGTTAAGAAACACTGGTTCGGGATGATCTATCCCGTAACTATCCAAACGTGTGCACCGCAGACGTCCAGGAGGCTGATTCAGCATGCCAATCGTTCTCCAAACCTTAGCTGGAAGGCACAAAGCTGGATCAATTCGGTTTAATCACCTGGGCTGCAACTTTATGCCTACCTATCTGGAATTAAAACCCCATTTCATTCTTACTCAAATTCCTTTCTTGAAACAAACTTTCATGAGTTTGCAGTTAGTTTTGCCCGTAAGTCCTTGCTGGTCGAGTCTGACATGGGCACTGCTTTCTGACGGTCCCCTGATGAAAAAGGAAGCATAACGCAGCACTGATATGTGGAAGGAAAGTGATAGGGCAAAACCGACCCAAAGGTGAGGGAGGGGTCTTTTATTAAATGTCTAGGAGTTTATTGTGGAGAGAGACCCCCATCTTCCATACATACTTGCCTGGCGCTCTCAAGAGAAAAGGTGGGATATAAATGCAATGATAAATAATATGTGCTCCACCCTCTGTTAGTTTAATTTCTTATAGATTATGCCAATACCTGCTATCTTAACTGCTGAGCTTTCCTCTTCTCACCCCAATGTCCACAATAAAAGAGAGTTTCTGAAGGGTGGGATCATTTTTGTCATGGTGTCATATACAAGATTAAAAAAAAAGTTCCCATCGTTAACGTACAAGATAAGTTGCATGAGATAAAGTTTGCGTGATTAACATACAAGATTTTTAAGAAGCTGCTGGAATGTTTTACACTGGCCTCCCTAAAAATTCTTTAAATTGACATTCCTCTAAGTTTAGTGCCGGGAGGGTGTTGAAGAGCTGTCCGTCCGTTCACGGTGGTTCTGTTCTGCCCCCTGGCGTCGGATGTTACTCCTATAAAGTTTATATGACGCCATAAAAACTCTGCTTCTGGCTTCTCAAAGGAAGGAAGGTGATGGCTCTCCAACTTTGTGACATGTGCAAAGCTCGCAACATACAATGCTGTGGCTCTTTTTTCAGAGAGATGGTTGAAAAAGGGGTTGAGAAATGGCCTCTTTTCATCACGCCCTATGCAAATAATCAGATCTGAGGCTGTTCTTTTTCCCCACAAGAATCTGTTTGGGTTATCTGCGATCCGTCCTGCAGACCTCCAAAAATTACACAGAGCTACATCTTTTTGAAGCAAGAAAGCACCATTCACTGGGTGAAGGGCTTCCACCCTCTTCACGAGGTTTCAACATCTGGGGAGATCCCCCATTTTCACAGACACGTCTCATTTATCTGTTGTTTGGGATTTTGAGCAATTAGTTGATCCGGTGCCCAATGCTCCTATTACAATGGTATGCGGCGGGCTGCCCTGTTACCATATTTGGAAGCTGAACAGAGAATGAAAAAAGAGAGGCTCTAAAAATAAACAAACGAATAAATAAATGGGATCCTGCGGGAGCACTCTGTGGCCAAAGTGAGGCTTGACACCTCTTTCTTGCAAAAAACAGAAAGGATTCCTGTGCTAAGAAATGGTGTGGGAAAAGATGTAGGCTGCTGTACGAATCTCTAGCTTTTGCTGGAAGAGGAAGTGAGAAAGAGGAAGAGAACCAGCCATGATAGTTCTACGCCACAATGTACAGCTGAGTATGTTAGGGAAACTCAGCACATTGTGGTTTATTCAACAAATCATGATCAAACCAGGACATAGCATGACGTGTGACCCAACCTGTGTCTTGCCCTGTGGATAATTATGTTGAGGATGGGGATGAACCCTTAACAATTCAACAACCTTATGGTGTTTCCACCTTCATCCACCTCAAAACACGTCACCTCAAAGAAGAAATGTAATGAATAAATTCAGCCAGGCAGGTTTATAAAACAGGAAGGGGTATAGAAGAAACAGCAAGCAGAAAATCAGAGTTAGGAAGCTAAATGAAATCAGTAAGTTTTTAGATGGTGTTTCGACATTTGCAAAGGCACGCAGCACATCCCATTGTAGGAGAGCTGGATTAGTCTACGGTAGCCAAAAATCAGGAGTCTGGTAGCAAAGCTTGATAAAATCGGTTAGTTTGCAAAGGTGCTACTCCTCCTGACTTTGAGCAGTTCCCAGTATCCTGCTGGGGCTAAAAAAATCCTATGCTAAGCCCTTGGGAATTATTTATAGTCCTTCAAACATCCAGACAGAGCAGACAAGACTTGACAGTTCTCCTAAAGCCCCTGGGGAGGGAGGTTCAAAGTGTGGGGGTGGCTATTGAAAAGCCCATTTCCTGTAGGCATTCTCGTAGAGGTGGGACTGAGATTACTCAGACAGGCAGATGAAGACCGGGGAAGGCAATCCAGCAGATAACCAGGACCAGATCCGTGACTGGCCTTAAAGGTGACAGCCAACATCTCAAATCACACCTGGGAGCCAATCAACAACCAGCGCAACTCTCAAAGAAGTGAGGTTGCTGAGATATATCGTGGTACACCCAGCGCTATCCAGATTACCGTATTCTGCGTCAGCTGTAGCTTCTGAACGTTCTTCAAGAGCAGCCCCATATAGAGCACATTCCAGTAATCCAGATGGGTGGTGACTAGGGCGTGCATGTTGCAGGTGATGACCCAGTAAGATTAGTCGTATGGAGTCCAACTGAAATCAGCAGAGAGGGCATGGATGATCCCTAGAAAGCATGAAAGCTAAAGAGAGAGAAGTCTGACCGTCTTGGGCTTAAAGTCTCCTTCCAGAATCCTTTCCTGGATGCTCCCACCACCTTCCAGATGAGATGGTTGGTGACTACAGAGAAGAATAGCTGCCTGGTGCCTGCATCTTTATTCACCAGGGCTCTGAACCATCAGTGACACTGTTTAATCTGACATTGTGTTATGCTGTTTGGAATATATTATGCATGTTGGGGATTTCTGCTCAGCAGACTATTATTGTATAAGCTGTGCTGTGAATGTGTTAAATTAAAAGAGAAGCGGGGAGGCTGCCACATGGTTTACTGAGAAACTTTAGACCATTATTGCCAAAAAACTTGCTGCTTGGCCTGGGAACCAAATACACCCTGGGAACAAATCAATGGGAAAAAGTAAGAACATCCACACTGGGGGTCTTTTAAGTACTAAACTGCAAAGTATATCATAAAATCAAAACAATTTCTTCTATTAGAAAAAAGTATTGTTCATTCTTTATACAAAATTGTACAGTTCAACAAACTTTTTATAGAACCTGAAAAACATACAAATTAATCTCAAGCCTTTTCCCCAGTTGGTAAGGAAAAAAAATACAAGTTTGCTGGAAAAGAGAAATTCACCAGTTCAAAAACACCCCTGTAAACACAGATTTGGACACACACTCAAGTCATTAAGCACAATGTGTTGGTTTGTGCAACTGCTCAGGCTTTGGGCTGTAGCCAGGCTGACGATGGTCTTGTTAAGCCTCATATTTGTGGTGCTATTTTATCATTTCCATGGTCTGAATGCTCCTATCAGTGCTACTGCGTCAAAACCTGAGGCGATCAAGATAGGCATAAACTCCTTCCTATACTTTCTACATTCATGCGCTTGTGACAAGAGCGCGACACGAAACCGGAAGGAAAAGTTCATCCCTTGGGACAACTGTGGATGCAACCAGTCTTGCCTGCCACTCTGCCTCCTCTTGAGTGATTCTGGATTTATCCTGGTGGGGCTAAGTTGCTACCACAAAGTTTGAGTATGGCTAAAGGGGAAGTCAAGCTTTGGCAGTTCGATTGTGGGCAACTCTGTAGCTGTTGAAGGGGCACGCATATATATAAACACCAGTCCTCCAGAGCCAGTGCTACTTCACAGAAGCTACCACGTGGCTTGAAATTCAGTTCCTGATGGGATAACCTTGGTGACGAGGGGGAAGTGAAAGTTCCAGGTGAAGAGAAGTCATTCCGCTCCTCCTGTCCGCATTTGCTGGAGCTTCCAAGGGACAGACCCTAGCGAATGTGTGCAAAGGTGCTTCTCCAAGAGGCTCTCTGTTCTCTCTCAGATCAGTCCCTTTCCCGCAGTATTTGGTTTGTTTGGTTTACATTCAAAAGTCATTCGATATCAAGACAGCAACCTGATTTTCTCATTTCCTGAAGGTGTCATGAGTATAAGCGAACGGTTTTCCTTGGCTAGCTCATCTTGTGTTCTGTTTCTAGAACAAGAGACAAACACAAGGCCAATGAAATGATGCAAGACATCCTGGGGACACACAGAAGGAAAATGAAAGATTCCTCACTCGCCCAGAAATGCATGATAGCCAAACGTCTTCGAAGAACTACAATTTCTGCTTAGGAGCAAACCTGGTTAGATTCACTCAAAGGTTGTACTCTGAAGATGTTGGGTTGGGTCAGGAAACAGATTCCAGAAGGACTACTCTACTTAACTCTACTGTTAAGGGGTATAATAACAAAATCTTGAAAGCCTGACACAGTTTCTTCCTCTTCCCTCTTCTACTTAAGAGAATGGAGTCAATCTTGAGTTTCTTTTTCACCCCCTCCTCCTTTTCAGGGCTAAGCTGGTGTTTATGTAACTGCCCTCGCATTCCCTCTTCAAGGTGACCTCTGTCCTCCTCTACACTAACAGCTATATTCACACACTTGGCTAATATTAATTCAGATTTGCATTTCTGTGGCTTAGTGTGCTGAGGGAAGCCAACCTATATGCTTCATTTCTGGGTCAGTGTGTTCTATGAAATGGGTTAATTCAGTAACTAGTTATTTAGCTTTTAAGTGTGAATGTATTTCACAGAGAAACCCAGACTGTCATCCCCATCGACACCCCTCCTCGTATTTTGTGTCTGAGTTTCTTTCACCTACTCATTCTGTCAGGTTTTATGAATTCAGATGCATGCCCAACTGACTGATACTCCTCTCTTTGATCTTCAAACATTCGTTTCAGAACTTTTTCAGGGTCAGGAATTACTGGAAAGATCAACAGCTGAATCCTGCAGAGTGGAGAGAACAAAATAATTAGAATATTCCAGATCAGAAGGTTTGAGTTTTTCACCCTTTGCCCGTGGGCTGGGCAATGCGATAGAGGCCCTCACTAAAACCCTTCAGTTCTCTGCCTTAGTCACAAATGCCCAGCAACAGTGCAGTTCATAGAAGGGATCCAACAGATAGGAAGTCTCTAAATCTCTGTAATCAGTTTCTTACCTCTTCAGATGAACAAGGAGAAGGACAGTCAAGACTGCAGCACATAACGGAATGATGACGAACAGAGCGATGGTCAACGTTCCATTCTTCTCTCGGTCATCTAAAAAGGCAAGGACAGTGACACCATTTCTAGATTAAGATTCAAAAAGCTACGGTGATGCTAGAATAGCTCACAGGTGCTCCCCCCAATGCTAAATTGTTTCCTTAAGACAGTAAGGGAAGCTGGTGGAAAGTCTCATTCCTTAGGCTAGTCAAGTACAATTTAGATTTCTGGCCAAGAAAACATAGATGCCCTCAAAGGATGTGGCTGGAGCTTCACACATCCAGATAAGGACTTCTTGCAACATCACGTGTTTGGAACACAGATTCCAATCCTCCCTGCAAAGGAACAGTTGAGACAGGCTGGCAAGGGGAGCAGGGGGGATTGCCATGGCAGCTTTAACTGCTGAAAATCCAAATAGTAAATTAGGTGTGCCCAATCAGCCTTACACAAGATATGTGCCCCTGATTTGCAAAGGACAAAGTACAGTGAAGGAACACATGCTTCTTATGCAGAAGACATTTCCAGTTAGAAGAATCAGGGAGTAGGCAACATGGAAAATTCCACCTGGAAAAGCTGTTTACGGTCAGGAGTAAATTAATGGACCAACAGCCTGACCCCGAGTAAGGTAGCTCAGTGGATTCTCCAATTTCACGTAGCTTTTAGACAGTGGTACAAGGATACTACTATGAGGCATATGGTCATTTTCATCACAATGCTCATGTCTGTATACTATGGCTTCAACTGGGCAAACATGTGAACATGTGAAACCTATGAAGCCTACCTACAGCTCTTCCTCAGATGGAAGGGGTCTTGCTTACTCTCCCGTTCCAGCAATGTGGGAGTGACGAGGCCAATCCTGTGTTCAGCGCATTCAAATTACAACACTCTTGACAAATCCAATTTTGCAAGTGTTTTCTGGATTCCAATATCAAATGGTTTTAGAAATGTTTTTCTACCATTCAACCAGAATCTGCCTTCCTATCATGTAAGCTTTTATTCTGCTTCCTGCCCCTAGGACAATGATCCTAGGCCTTAGGATTCCCTAGTTGTCCCCTAGGACAACTGGATCTTGGTCTTCTGTGTGACACCCCTTCAGAGACTTCAAGAGTGCTCTCCTACCCCCCAGATGTCTCTTCTCAAGGCTGGTTCCATTTTTAAAATTTTGTCACTATTGTAAGCCCTCGACTAGCAACCAGGGAGGAGTAAACCAGATCAGAAGGACTGATCAAAGGCACAAGCTCAGAGAAGCTATGCCCAGTTCCTTGCTCCCATCCCAGCAATCGCTTCAAAGTCAGATTCATTTGAGGAACCAGCTGCTTTCATTCTAGGCGACAATGGCAAAGGCAGCATACATGGGAACCAGAGTCAGGACACTTGATGCTTATCCCCTCATTAGGATGGGACAAAGCTAGGTGGTGTGTCTCTGTTCCGAGAGACATCATTGGCTCTAGCTGAACTTTGGCTTCAAGGGAGGTGGCTACTGGCTTGGAACTATCCAAGGTCCTGCAGTTGTAGCCTCCGGAGACCCAGGTCCCAAGGATTCTGCTCAAGGTCCGTAACGCAAATCTGGACTGGAACCATTTGAAAGAATCCCAGAAACCAAGCCCACCCACCAAAGTCATCCTTAGATCTGGAGTCCCTCTCTCGTCCTACCGGATTCACTTTGGGCCACCAAGCCAACCGATTACGCACTAGCAGAAAAGTGTGATGTAAATAGTCCTTCCAAATGAATTCAGCTGAATTCATTCCATAACGTTAAACCAGATACCCAGAAATGTTCGGTGCAACACAGAATGATGCCCTGGAGTTAATTCAAAGGCAAAATACAGCCAGTGCAAGGTACTATCTTAGCGGTATGGTGTTCACGTTAAGCAGAACCAGCTCGGGCGCTCAGTTCCTGAGAAAGAGGTTCCTCACCCCAGTGCACTCTTTCGCTCCATTCGCTCCAGGGCCCTCGTTGTTTGGAGCAGTGTGTGCCGACCTCATCCAGCACGGCCCTCACTCTCAGGGTGTGATACTTCTTAGGCTCGAGGGTGATGGTTATGTTGGTATTGTCTTCGTAACGCTTTAAAGGAAACAGGTACAGCTTTTCATTGTCTACCAACCAATCATGAGACGTTTTAGTGGACTGGATAGAAAAAGGATCTTGACATTTGACTTTCAGGAAGAGGAGGAAGAGGGAACTCTCTGGCCATGAATCCACAGTCCGTCTCATTTGTATGAAATAGGACTTTTGTCAGGACCAGCAGACGGGCTTCTTGAAAACGAGACGCTAACCATCTCTTGAGTCTTCTTTCTCTCTGGGGAAGAGACCCTTTACCTAGCGAAGAGCCAATCCATGCGCTGATGTCTGGAGGATCAGCTAATCTCAACCTCGCCCTCTGAGACAAGCCGTACTATCTATTAAAAGTCACACACAGTGAAAAAAAAGCCCCCACCTGAAATTAAGCTCGGGAATTGCATGGAATATAAGGAAATTGAGACCAAACCAGGGCTACGATCTCGTTGAAGGGATCTTTTTATATACCAGGGTTCCAAGATCCAAGTAATGTGTGTGTGTGGGGGGGCCCTTCACTGGACCAGAGCAGGAGGTCTTCCCCACCATGAATTAAACCTGGTTCTCTCCATTTCCGTTGGGGCTATTGACACCCAGAATTCCCCAACCAGCATGGCCCAGGGGGATTCTGGGAATTGCAGAGAGAGGATTAGAAAAAAGAGCCACGGAAAATCTAACATCCCCACTGCCTTCAGAGAGGATATTCCACAAAGGGGCACATATAAGAGTCTACTTTCAGTCTTCCTGGGTGGAACTCTTCCTGGATGAGATTTGTGATCAGACTGTTGTGGTCACCATCATCATCGTAATACCATCTAATATATTTTTATATTGCTACCTGTATAAACAACCTCACCATCTCTACTTAGTCTTCTTAATTTGTCGCAGCATAAGGTGGCAGAAAACTTTCTAACCGTGATGAGCAAAATGGAGATTAAGGTTATCCCAGCTTTTGCTACGCTGGCTGGGAATTATGGGAATTGGAGTCCCAGTACCCCTCGAGTGCTCGGGATTAAGCAACCGTGGTTCAAATGCACAAGTGTTGGTGCCGTTCTCAAAGACAGCTCAGATGCCAACATCATTATCTTTACATCCCATGAAGGGTATTTCAAGCGGTGCAACCCTGTTCTTTTTTAAAAAATAAATTAAATACAAAAACAACTTACGCTGCCAATTCTGTCATTAATTTCTGCCTCATAGCATATGCCATGCCACGCGAGAGGAGGAGTCCATGTGAGAAAAAGTACGTCATTGCCCTGTATGACTTTCAGATTTGATGGTGGGTCAAGCTTTATTAGATAATCTGGAAGAAAATAGACAAGCAAATGCTGCACTATTGTTTCAGTGCCACAATTTACTATTCCTACAAACACACTAAGATCAGTCAACTGTGATTTCATTTCATTCCATTTTCATTTTTTCTGACCTGAGGTTTGGTGGCTCAGTTTCCAAATTTTTTTTAACGAAGCCCATGCAAAAATATATATTCATTTTAATGTGTATTTCTCCCTAATATACAGGGTTTATACACATTTGTGCATCTCACCCAGAGATGCCCACTTTTGGTCACGCTTTCCTCAGAACATGCTCCCGTTTGTAGCTTCAAACGCACGGCCGCCTTTGCAAGCGGCAGGCATCAGCCTACGACAGCACTTGGGTGCGCGAGTCAGTTGAGTTTGCAAACCGTGATGCGAATGAACCCGTCTCCCATCCTACGTATTTGTGAGCTTCAAAGCAAGACGCACATCGAAGGGTCTCCAGTGTCTCCTGCACATCCTGTAAAGTGCCACAGATGGGGAAGAGAATCCCCCTCATCGCAGTGGGCCACTCCTTATAACCCTCAGAGTCAGAACCATCAAGATGGGCCAGAACAAGACACTCCTTCAGAACTGGGACCATCCAGCTCTTAGCTCCCCCTGTTCCCTACAGAGGCTGGACCCACCAAGAGGAAAACCTACCAGGCTTTTCTTTACCTTCCTTTATAATCATGCACACAGGCTGGACGTCTTGAGAATCGCTGCGAACAGAAATGGCGATCTTGCGTTCTCCAGAACAGTTGATCGGAAAAGCGCAGTGGAACATGTCTCCGTCTATGGTGTAATTTCTGCACTGCTGCCCTTCTACCAGGCGTCCGTGACTGAAAAAGTCAAGAGAAGTGAGCAAAAAGATCTGTTCTTGCAGGCCAGAGAGAAGAGATCGAACGGGGATGAACTGAGGAAGGAGCTGAGCTCACTCGCTCAATGAGCTCACTCACTCATTGGCGTTTTCTCCATTTTCTCCAAATGCAGCCACATTTGTTTGGACAGTGTAGAGAGTCAGGAAGATGACCTTGACAGAGAGATGCAGGAACTGTTGCCTGGGCAAAGGGGACTGAACCTTTTTTCAAGCCCAGAGCAATGAGATAACATTCAGAAACGACTCCGGCAGACGCCTCCGTCACTGAACTGTAACAGGGTTTCTCAACACTGTTTACTTCAAATGTGTGGACTTCAACTCCCAGGATTCCCCAGCCAGCATGCTTTACGATGTGTGGACTTCATCTCCCAGGATTCCCCAGCCAGTATGCTTTAAGATGTGTGGACTTCATCTCCCAGGATTCCCCAGCCAGCATGCTTTAAGATGTGTGGACTTCATCTCCCAGGATTCCCCAGCCAGTATGCTGGGTGGGGAATTCTGGGAGATGAAGTCCACACATCTTAAAGTGGCCAAGGTTGAGAAACACTGAACTATAAGAAGGAGGCAGAGCTGCAGCACAAGCAGACTTGCAAGACTACTTCTATTCGTAGGCATTTATCTTTTACAGCTAAAAACTATATACTGCCATACCGTAGGTGTGGGGCAGAGGGGAAAAAAATGACCGAAACAGGTACCTCCCCACCCCTCTTAATATTAAACACAAAATCTAATATTCCCCATTTCACCAATATGGTTCAAAATAAGATAAACTTTTGAGAAATATTATGAATCACTAAAGTATTTGGCATGTAGCCGCTCCTCTTCTGGTTAGACACGGTTCTTCAGAAATGCCATCCTGAAAACTAGCGACTCATCCTTTGCCCAGGCTTCAGATGGACCTCTGCTGCCTGAAGACGTTCAAAGAACATTTTGAAACTTAAATTGTTTCATTTGCCTTTAAAAAAACCATGCCATCATTTTGTTTTAATTGATCCAAGAGGTAGTCTGCAACATAATCTTAAGGGTTGGGAGAGGGCAGAAAACAAAAAGAACTAAACTTGATTTAAAAACAAAACACAGCTGGATTCCTCCTCCCAGAAGCAGGTGTGAATGAAGGGTTGTGACGGGAATCAGTTTGAGAAGCGCTACGGACGGGCCCCGGGTGCAAAAGAGAGGAAAACCATGTTTTTCCACCAGTATCTCCCCTGAATGAATCTGCCTCTTAGAGCTGAAAAGCTATTCCTGGATTTTCTTTCAGAGTTTCCTAACGGATTTCAAGAGTGGTAAACACAAGATTAAAATCTTTTACAGTTCTGCCCTGGAACTTTTGAGACTGAAAGAAATCCCTGAGTAATGAGGAGATTAAATTGGCTCCCTTTGGGGCCAAGAAAAGAACAGGATTTTCAAGTACAGACCTGAAGGTCAGATTATAGTTGGTGCCATGACTGGCATTTCTTCCACGCTTCCACGAGCATGCCATCCACTGGGTGTTATGACAAAGGCAGCTGAGATCAGCTGCTCCTGTCTCTGCAGTCCCTGCCAGGGCAAAGCGAGAGGAAACCTTTTCTTTATCCCACACATTTCTCTCTGCCCATGAAACCCCTCTCCCAAAAGCAAGGAGGAAAGGCTGACACTCCCCAATTCCGAAATTCCAGCTCGAGCCCAGGCACGCAAGTGAAAGACCCCTGCCCAAATCGCCTTTATGTAAAGGGGCTAAGGGGCTGGTGATAAAGGGACGAGACAGGAAATGGTGGGGAGGGAAAAAGCAATTCCCCAACGTCCCCCACCCTCGCGCCTCCCGGTAGCCGAGACCAGCTCTGTGCAAATCAAAGCATTTCCCCCAGCATTCAAGTACGTGCTGGAATCTTGTCCTTGCTCCTTTCGAAGCAGCAGCGAGCTGTGGCTCCTCGAAACAAGCATGACTTTTCCCTGGAGGGCACGGCAGCTGCTTTAAGGAGGCCCCGAGACCCCCCTCCTGCGCTCGCACCCGGCGCCTTCCCAAACACCTTTTCGCCTTCGAATCTGAAGCGCTGCCCAGCCCAATTTCCGTGCTCGCCTTGAAGCCCCTCCAGCCTCGTTGCTGGTTCGGCTCCAGAGACACAGCAACCCCTTTCTAGCAAACGACTCTCATATATCTATAAGGGTGCTATGCAATTATTGGAGACACCAATCTTACAGTAACATCTGCATAAGCCAAGCGGCTGGAGGTTTACCATTTTGTGCCAGAGAGATATTAAACCATTCTCCTTTGAGGCGCTCGATACTGCCTTTCATACAAGATGTTCTGAGCCCAAAAATCAGATTTTTCCCCAGAGGAACCACCAGTGTCTTGAAATGGTCCGGAGTCCACCCCTAAAGTTGGAAAGGGAAGAGCATTTAGGCATAACAGGACAATCCCACACGTGCTGCCTGGGAGGAAAATCTCACGGAGATCCCTGCCTCGTTACGTCTCTCTCCTTCCTTCTCTCTCAGCTTCCCGGGGATTCTCTAGATGGTCTGCCCCAAGTTCAAACTCCTTCCAACCTTTCAGCTTCTTCAGAGGCCCTTTTCTGAAGATGCCTCCCAAAGTTATTTTAACTTCCAACGTTAGAAAAGGCAGCAACTCCAGCTGCAACCTCTGGATCGTCAAGGACAGGGGTGGCCCGACCGCTATTTGCAAGGGGCTTGTGATTCAGCATTTATTTTCATCCATGTATTCATTATTGACAGTGTTGTGTCACTCTGCTCCAAATAGCCAAGTGGCGTACAGTAACAATAAGTATTAAAAGCAAGACAACCCACCAAAAACCATATGAACTGTAATGATGCAAACCAACCGGGGCGGATTCCACATTTAACATAACGCTCTCTCCCTGAGCCACGTTTTACTGCTCCACAGAAGCTCATCTGGAAAGTGGTGGTCTGTATATATGGGGGCAAGCTTTTCCCCGGAGGGGGGCCACCCCTGAAAAGGCCCTGCTCGAGGGTTCCTGCAGAAGGAGCCCTCTCCCGGATCTTACAAGATGGGCATGTCCCCTCCTGAGCAGGCGGTCTTGAAGAAGACCAGCCTCCGTCCCGCCGACAATGTTTGACCAGAAGCCCAGAGAGAGAGGACGCTTACTGTTTCAGTCCACGTTTTGCCATTGTAAAGAGCAGTGTGATACATCAGCTTGCAGGAATCCACAGAGAAATTGACAGGATCCCATCTGACGCTCAAGTTACAGGTGCTTTCATTGAAAACATAATTGATGTTTGACGGGGAAGACAGGATTGACAGAGCTCCTACAAGAAGGCAAAGGGAGGGGGAAAGGTAAGCCATGGTTCGCTTGGTGCTTGGACCTGCAAGTTGGCAGGCTGACCCCCATGTGCAGAGTGAAGCCCAGGTACCAACTTCAACGGCAGGGCAGTTCAGGCACCGCCCGGCTCCCTGCGCATGGCACACGCCTCTCCTCCTCCTGAGTCAGGGTCAGCAGTATCCCTGCCCCCCCAAGTCAGAGGAGGAGGGGGAGCTCCACCTTTGGCAGCTGAGTGATTAAGTCCAGAAGACTCCCTGCCAATCCTCAGAGAGGCACAGGATCTAACATTTGCCCAAAAAGGCATACCTTCCCCCCAACCCACATCTTGGCAGTAAAACACATGGCATCCTCTGTCGCAATTACACCTGGACCCCCAGGAAGAGATCAGGACTGGGGGACAGGGGAGGGGGCCTATCCCTTTGCTCCTGCCAGGGTCTCTCTCAAAGCGCCCCATCCCTGGAGCAAAGAAGATGCAAGCGCTTGAAAGGAGATGCTCTAACCCAAGCTTTCTCAAACATGTCAGCTGTTCTGGATGCAAGAAATTGCTTGGATGGTTGGCCTTATGAAAAAACCACCAAGGAGTTCAGATCTGTGACACCACCAAACTGGGGACAGGGTTACAGCCACCACAAGGCCCTTCCTTCCTTCCTTCCTTCCTTCCTTCCTTCCTTCCTTCCTTCCTTCCTTCCTTCCTTCCTTCCTTCCTTCC